AGAAACTGCTGCTGGGCCCTGTGGGTCCCGTCGCTGACCGAGCGAAGGCAAGACGAGAATCGGAGACGGGTCTGTACGGCACGGGAGGTTCTCAAGCGACATGCGAGGACATGGATGCGTGTGTTTGTCAGACGCAGGGCATGGCTCCGGGAGTTGAGTACGTGCAACTGAGTCAAGATGCGTAACAAAGGGTGATTTTCGGCGCCTATCAATGTCACATAGTATCCGTGGGTCTAGTTAATAAATGCTTCTTCGGGCGGAAGTGGCACTGCGACATGCGCCGTATTTGAATGATGAGGTCTGGTGAAGAGCGGGGCACGCGGGGTTCGCAGAGCCGAAAGCTAAAACGAGGTTTTCCCTGGCGGCCTCCTCTACTAGGAACCTGCATCACGGTAGCCTTTACACCGGACCATTCCTCCGACCACTGCAAGGCAGCAGATTTGGCTTGCATCAGGCTGGCTGACGCTTTGTGGCGCCGGTCTATAACCTCAAGCCCTGTTGGAAACGGCGAAAAGCTGCTCCGATGTTCCTACGGTTGTTGCCTTCGTAAATCCAGATATGCGCCGAAGCTCCAGGTGTGGGTCGTTATCATCCCTGGTGGTACCATGCAGGGGCCGTGCCGTCTTTTGCTGCCGATTGAGGCCAGAAAGGGCTCTGGGCCAGTTCATCTTCTGCCCCCATCTCGACAGAGTGGAGATGATCGCCTTTGAGCGTCACATTTGGGATGCTGATGTGCATGTCGGAATACGGCAGCCATGGCTCTACAATTGAGGACAGTCATATCGGCCGGAGCGTCTAGTTCGACGCATGCGAGGCACATCGCATACCCTGTTGCTTCAACATTTGTTGCTCGAGCTGCCTGCTACTCCAACTAGCTAGGCTATGAGTGCTCGAACAACATGTGCCAACGTAGCAAATAAATCGTGTCAGTAGAGGAAAGCCTGCCTGCCGCTTGGCAACCTATGGCCGTATAACTATGGCCCTCGCCATGTCTCAAACCTCTTGTCAAGAAGGACCAAGAATTGCATCAGACCGTCATTACACATGCCATAGAATCGCATCATCGCCTCATACACACAACTATTCCGAGCATCGACGTTCTTTGACACCTAGCAATGTCACTCAATCTTTCCTGGC